GTCTTGGAGGCCTCTTGAGACGTGTCTTGGGCCTCTTGGGCGATCTTTGGGGGCACTTGGGCCGTCTCGGGCCGTCGGAAGGCAGAACAAAAAGGAAATGCCACCATCCTTCAAGAACCAATGGGAAATCAATGATTTTGGCCTTTTCGGGCCTTCCTGGAGGCCCTCTTGGAGCCCTCTTGGGCCGTCTTGGACCAGCTTCAAGCCAACTTCGGCCATCTTGGTGGGTTCCTGGTCCGTCTGACGCCGTCGGAAGCCGTTTGGGGGGCATCTATGGGCCGACTTGGGGCCCTCTTGGAATACTCCAGGGCCGTCTTGGAGGCCATCTCGGGCGTCTTAAAGGCCTCCTGTGCAGTCTTGGGGGCCTTTTGGGGCCGTCGTGGGGCCCTCTTGGGACCGTCTTGGAGGCCACTTGGGCCGCCATGGGGCCCTCTTGGGAGCCTCTTTTGGGCGATTTTGGGGGCCTCTTGAGCCGTCTTGAGCCGTCGGAATGCCGAGAAGAAGCAAATGCCAACATCCTTCAAAAACCTACGGACAATCTATGATTTTGGCCTCTTCGGGCCCTCCTGGAGGACCTCTTGGATGCGTCGTGAGCGTTCTTGGAGGCCTCTTGGGCCGTCTGGGGCCATGTTGAGGCTATCTTAGGCCGTCTTGGATGAATCTTGACTCGTCTGGGAGGCATCTTGGAGCCATCTTCGCCGTCTTGGAGGCCATCTTGGCCGTCTTGGATGCATCTTGGAGACCATCTTGGGCCGTCTTGAAGCCGTCTGGAGCAGGGAAAACCTTTGCAACCAGGTGTTGAGATCCTTTCCGGGTGGCCGGCGGGACGGGCCGAAGCCCCAGGGGGAGTTTTTTTTGTAACAAAAAAACCGAGAGGGTCCAGCACGCCAGGCACCTTTGCGATGAATCGACAGGGGGCGGCGGATCGAATGGCTTTCGGCCCATCCCGCTACCGTGCCTGGACTGTGGGTCAGAGTCCTCAGGGATGCTTTTTGGGGTCTTTTCGGAGCGCTCTCGGGGGCCTCTGGGGGGCAGTTTGGGGGCCTCTGGGGAGCCTCTAGAGGACCTCTTGGGAGTATCTTGGGGGCCTCTTGTGGCTTCCTGGGGGCCTCTTGGAGGCTCCTTGGAGGCTCTTGGGGGCTTCGTGAGGGCCTCTTGGCTGAGGGCCTCTTGGAGGCTCCTTGGAGGCTCTTGGGGGCTTCGTGGGGGGCTCTTTGGGCCTCCTGGAGGCCTCTCGGGGCCGAGGGCTCGAAATGTTCGTTCGGGTCTCCCGTCTGGGCCCCCTCTTGGGGCCGTCTTGGGGACCTCGAGGCCTCTTGGGCCGTCTGGGGGCCCTCTTGGGCCGTTTTGGGGCCCTCTGGGAGGACTCTTCGGCTGTCTTGGGGCTATATTGGGAGCCTCTTGGGCCGTCTTTGAGCAGCGGGAAGCCGCAAAGACGAGAATGCCAAAATCATCCCAAAACCTCGAGGAAATCAATGAGTTGTGCCTCCTGGGGCTCTCTTGAGAGTGCTCTTGGAGGCTTCTTGGGGCGTCTTCGAGGCCTCTTGGGCAGTCTGGAGGCCATCGTCGGCGTCTTGGAGCGACCTTTCGGCGATTCTGGGCTCTCCTGGATTGTCTGGGCGGCCTCCCGGAGCTTTCTTGGCCCGTTTTGTTGCCCCCCTTAGCGAGGGGGCCGTCCAGGAGGCACACACGAGAAATCCCAGCAGCGCCAGGTACGCCAGGGGTGCGAAGGCGCGGGCCGCTGTCGCGGCAGCGTGCCACGTCCGCGCGCGCTGGCGCCGCGCGCCCCCCTCGGAGGCCAGCGACTTCGAGATGCAGTCCGTCATCGGCGGTGCCGGCGAGGCCGCGGTCGACCGAGATCGGGGCTCAAGAAACGGGGGTCAATGCAAACGGGGGTCCGTCAGAGCGCTGGACCTTGCAGGATGCTGCAGAGCCAGGGCTGCATTGACCCGGGCTTGGGTGCAGGATCCTGCAGGGTCCTGCAGGATCTTGCAGGATCCCGCAAGGCCTGACTGACCTGGGTCTGGGTTGACCAGGGTCAGCAGATCGAGAATTTAGTCGAAGGGCGCCAGTTATGTCGGGCCAGCCCCCTCGGCACAGCCCTGAAAAGTGCGAGAGGCGCGGGGATGTGTCCAGATCCACCGCCCGGGAGCCGACGTCCCGGTGCTCCAGCGGGCGGTGGGCATGGAGATGGTTTGGCCCCCAGGGGCCCGAATGTGTCCATAGCCACCGCCTGTGGAGGTCCGCGAGCGTCGATCCTCGGTGCGGCGGGTGTGCAGAAACCCCCGCCTCGGAGGAGTGCGACCGCCCTCCCCCGCGAGGCAGACCTGGTCGTCCTCGGGGCTGCTGGCGTGCTGCTCCTGGCCGGGGCCGTGCACGGCGCCCTGGGCCACGCCAGGCGCGGGGGGGGCCTGCCGCAGCGGGCGCCCGCGCGGCGCCACGGCCGTGGTTGGGCGGCGGGCGAGGGGGGGAAGTCTCGGGCTCGAGGCTCGAGGTTTTCGGGCGTCGTCGTCGGTTGTCGGCGGTCTTCCAGCCTCGGGAGGCGCCCCAGCGGCCGCGCCTCGCCGAGAGGGCTCTGGGGGTGCCAGAAACCAGCGCCAGCTGCGCGCCCGGGGGGGAGTGAGAAGGAGAAGGCCTTCTCAGAAGCTTGGCATCGCTCGAACGTGTGCAATTTTCCTTCGTCGAGGACCATCGAGGAGCATCCTTTATCATTCGGCGAAAAAACCACGCACGAAACCGAAAAAAACCCAGGGAATGGACGTCCGAGCGATGGCCAGGAAGGCGGCGGGACTTCTTGGAAGCCCTCGCGCCTTCTGAGATGTGTTCCGCGTCTTCGGGGGAAGCTTCGAAACTCTTCAGAAGGCCGGGGGACTTCCGAGCCTTCTGAGAAGGCCGGCCCCTTCTCACCTCCCTCCTCGCTCGCCACCGGGTATTGCACACTGTGGGAGGGTTGCGTCGCGAAGCGAGAGCATGTTTTTGTTCGCGGACCTTGCGCTTGCGCAAAGAGCAGTCGGGCAAGCACAGGGCTACCGTGCAGCAAGTTCTTGCACTGCACGAGGCGGGAAAGACCTCGAAGAGCAAGACACGACGCACGGCACTGGAGGTTTCTGGATGCTTTCGGCCCCCGGGGGCCCTCACAGGGGCCCCGGGGCCGTGAAGAAACGGCTCGGGATGAGGAAGCGGTCCCAGGTCAGGGATTTCGTTGGGGGGGGCACGTCAGAGACGCCACGCGACGCCGCACACGCTGCCCATCGTGCATTGCAGGCAGGCTACAGCGTGGATCCCCCAAGTCTGCTTTGGGCGCCGTCCTGCTGCAAGAGTCGAACTGTTCTCCCGTGTCCCTCCGTGTCAGCCGGCGAGGAAAGCACGGCATAAAGCATAAGTTTGTTGGCGCTCCGCGCGGATTTCTTGGATCCGCGTTGGCCCCCCCCCCCCCCCTGCGGCGCCTCCCGCGCCGCCCGTTGCGCGCTCCGCGCGCCAGCTAGGGAGGGGGGGGCCCACCGCGGGTCCGAGAAATCCGCGCGGAGCGCCAGACGCTTCTGTGCATGCAGCTGTTTCTTCTTCTGTTCCGGGGGGGCGGACGCCCAACCGTTCCGCCGACGCTGACTAAGAGAGCAGACACAGCGCCGGAAGCGGGCGGTGCCGGGAGCGGAGGAGGCCTCTCGGCGGGCTTTGGACGGTCTCGGCGGGGGGGAAGGCCTTCTCGGGGGGCCATCCGGCGGGTGGTCTCCGGGGCCACTTTGGGGGCGGAGGCCTCGAAGCGCGAGGCAGCGTGAAGTCGGGCCTGTCCCTCTACAGGAGGAATATTCAAGAATAGTCCAAGCATAGTCCAGGGACGAGTTTTTGGACAACTTTGATTCTTTACTTACCATGCTTGTATTTTCCTTCCAAAATCCGTCTGTGGGAGGACATGCCCGACGTAAAGGTAGCGTTCCTTCTCTTGAGACCGCATTGGGCCGTGTGGGGGTCTCTTGGACCACCCGGGGGGGGTGGGGCCTGTCGTGGGCAGCTTTTGGGCCCCCTCTGTGGGGCCCCTTGGGGCGTCTTGGGGCAAAATCTACGGGGCCTCGTCGTGGGCCTGCTGAAATCGGGCCGGACGAAAGGGGGGGATTGGGAAAGGGGGGGTTACGAAATCTGCTGCATGCAGCTGGTTTCGGCCCCACCGAGGGGCCCAGTCCTCGATACATGGGCGCCTCCGGCGCCGGGAGGCGCCACGAACATCAACTACGCGAGCTGATTCTCAAACCCCCACGTTGCTATCCCCCCCTTTCGCCCGGCCCGATGAAAGCGTGGGAAAGCAGCGAAGGCGGCAGCGACCAAAGCCTGCGAGCATCTGCACATGCGCCGTGAGGTGTGCCTGGGTCCCTCGTGGGGGGTCCTATCGAGGCCTTCTTGGGTCGTCTTGGAGGCTTCCGGGGCCGTCTCGGTGCCCTGTTGGACGTCGTGTGCTTACGTTGCCGCAAGGAGGCCAAACGGGCTCGAGGAGCAACGGAAAGGGGAAGCGGAGAGGACCGTGCTCTGATGCAGAATTTCGCCATGGGCGTTTTTCGACGGAGGGGGAGAGGGGGTGGGACACACCGCCCCCAGGACCGCCCCCCCCCCGTAGGGGAAGGAATCAAGGCACACTCGAAGGGGTTTCCTTCCGAGTTCGCTACGAGTCGGAACAACTCCTCTCGGGCTGACGACCTTGAAACGCTCCAGCCAGCGACCTCGCAACGCTCTGGGATGCTGGGCTCTGCAAAGGTCTGGGATGGTGGGCTCTGCAGGGGTGTCGCGAAGCCTCCCTCACACTCCGACAGGGACGGAAGTAACTCCAGGAAGCATTTAAGAACCCCCCCCCCCCCTCCGGCAAATCGATAACCCTTCCGCACCCTGGAAGCGTTACCTGGCACCAGGAGCCCTCCTTGTGCCCGGGTGCTACAGCTATCGTTCGGTTATTTCGGCCCCTTGGAATATCGAATAAAAGATGCGGTGCTACGATATCGCCGGGGGGGTTCTTA